ATATGTGTGTACTGTCTGTGTATATTTATTATGTATATATAAATACACACACATACAGTATATATTTTGAAAATATTTACATGTATATACATTTATATAGTTACATTATTATATTTTATATTATATATATATAAATATATTTAATATATAATCATACATTTTTCTTAAATATATACATGCATGTGTGCGTATTTATATATACATAATAAATATACACAGTACACACATATTATGTAAAGAAAAACTTATTTTGGATGTGATTAATCGCGATTAATCGTTTGACAGCAGTAATATATATATATATATATATATATATATATATGGGCTGTCAATGGATTAACATTTTTTATCTTTTACTGTGATTAATCGCAATGCCATTCAGTTTCTAGAGAAAGCTGCATAATGTGATGTTTTTCAGACAGAAATTTTTAGTGTAGCAGTACTGTGTTGTATAAAATAAAGTCAAATGTGAAAAATAGGCTGTGCAAAAGTTTGGGCACCCTTTCAATTGTGTTGATTTTAATAGCTGTAGTCTCTTATTGCTGATTAATTACAACACCGTATTGATTTGAATTCCTCAGTGATCCTTAACACTGCAAACTAAGGTGCAACCCATCATGGGAAATTATATTTAAGGTAGCTAATTGCTAGTTGTGCTTTTCCTTGATTCTCTACTGGAAAGTGGCAACATGGGAACCTCAAAAGAACTCCCTAATGAACTAAAAACTAGGATAATTTGTCAATATGAATTAGGAGAAGGATACAAACATTTTCACAAAGGTTTAAGGTCTCTGTCCCCACAGTCAGAAATATAGTTAGAAAATGAAAGGCCACAGGAACAGTCCTTGTGAAGGAAAGATGTGGTAGGCTGAAAAAAAATATCTGAAAGGCAACAGCGAAGAATGGTTATAATGGTCACAGACAAACCACAGACCACCTCCAAAGAGTTTCAAGAACATCTCGCCGCTGATAATGTCATTGTACATCATTCAACAATCCAGCGCACTTTGCACAAGGAACAGCTCAATGGAAGGGTGACGCAGAAAAATCCTTTTCTGGGTACTGCCAACAAGCAGAGTCGTTTAAGGTATGCAAAGGCTCATCTGGATAAGCCTGAATTATTTTGGAATAATGTGCTGTGGACAGATGAAACTAAGATAGAGTTATCTGGTCACTACCAGAGGAGCTTTACAAAAGAAGAACCTGCTCCCCACTGTTAAATTTGGTGTAGGGTCCATCATGCTGTGGGGCTGTGTGGTAGGCACAGATACTAGAAACCTTATCAGAGTTGAGAGTTGCATGGATTCCACCCAGTATCAGCAGATTCTTAAGAACAATGTTCAAGAATCAGTCAAGAGGTGGAAGTTATGCCGGGGGTGGTTGTTTCAGCAGGACAATGACCTAAAGCATTGCTCCAAATCTACCAAGGAATTCATGCACAGGCACAGATACAATGTTCTAGAATGACCATCGCTGTCCCCAGACTTGAATATCATCAAGCATCTATGGATTGACTTGAAGCAGGCTGTCCACACTCGGCAGCCATCAAACCGGCAGACATTTTGCAAGGAAGAATAGTCAGAATTCAGGGATTTATCAGTGGCTATAAGAAGCGTCCACAGGCTGTTATTTCAGCAAAAGGTGGCTCTACTAAATACTGATGTGATTATTCCATTGGGGTGGCCAAATTTTTGCACCTGTCTGTTTTTGTTGTGATTCACATTGCATTGTTTCTGTTGATTCAATAAATGTTATTTCAGAATTTAAATGTTAATGTATCCATAAGGTATAAATTATATCCAAATGAAGTTGCAGCTTTGAAAGCCTAGCAGATTATAAATTGAAATGATGATAATTATCAGGGGTGCCCAAACTTTTGCATAAAACTGTATAACCTGCAAATATATGGAATTAAATAAATATTTTGTAATTTACTGTACAGGCCTGGAAAAGTCACATAAAAGATTAAAATCTTTAAGAGCAGGAACGTGTAAGTGTTCCCTCATCTAGGAACATACCTGAGATTCTGGGTGCCTCTTGACCTTTGATCTATCAGATAAGTCACATCCAAGTGATAATCATCCAGCGCTTCCTGTGCCAGACGTTCATCATGTCCAGTTTCTAAGACGTTGTGTTGTGTCAGACGGGAAAGGTTATAACACAAGAGTGCGTTCAGGAATTTGACTGACACCAGCCTGTGGAGTCGTCATGCATGTCCAGCTTTTATTTCTTAGTGTCCACTTGTGGTCTCTGACTCAAAAAACACAGCTGCGGATTTTTAAACAAACAAGAGTATAACTAGCTACACAGTATTTAGTGCGAAACTCTTATCAGTTGTACACTCAGGCTACTACGTTATTGCAGATATTTCAACATTCACACTTCTAACCCTTCTAGGGATCATAAATACTTAAGAGAAGGGGGTTTTCATGTGGCGCAGCTCTATAAAATAAATGTTTTTCACAAATTGCCCTGCTTGAAGTGGTATTTTATATAGATAAATGCATAGATTGCTGCTATCAAAATAGATAAACATAAATTAAATGAACAGTATCTTACTTCTTTGACCTGTGATCAGTATTTTATTGCAATGAGTTTGAATTGCTACGCCATCTAGTGGATCGTCTTATGTTGACGTGAATCAATCACAGCTGCAAAATTATCATTTGTCATATTATTTATCATATCAGTTCACCCACTTATTCATTTGATCTAAATGTGTTTTTTATTGACTTAAATATCCAGTTTAATGTTTAATTTCCATATTGTATAACATCAGCCAGAAAAGCAATTTAATGTCACCACAGTTGAAACATGCATTGTGAGCAAATGCAACAACAACAACAAAAATCTAATTTCATTAACCAACAACTCAAACACAAGTAAATTGTACAAAGGAATATGATCAGTATGTACAAGTGGAACTGAAGTAATGAAGATAAACGTTTTAGCACATATGGCAAAATGCCTGTTTCCAACAAGGGGAAAATAAAAAAGGTAATTGCGACATTTGATCTCACAATTCCGAGCTATATACTCACAATTCCAAGAAAACTGACATAAACTCAGAATTCTGACTTTTTTCTCAGAATTGCAAGAAAAAAAGTTGGAAACAAGCTTCCATAATTCACACTTTTAAAATGACATTCAAACAATAAATAAATAAGATTATGACAGGTTATTTATTTTGAACATAGTATAAATAAGTAAAATTTGCTAGCTGAGTTAAATTAGAACAAGGAAGAAAAAGAATAACAGAAAAGGAAGAAAAATAGGACACCGAATCCTAGGTCTGTTTTATACAGAGTGGTAAGAGACTCTGTACGTACGGTGTTTAACTGGCTTTCCATTGATGTGAATCTCATCTAAGTGTCACTTATACTCTCATTCATTGCTTTGGTGCCACTCTTCCATACTTCCCACATCTCCCACCATTCTTGTGTTACTGTCTCCTCCAGCGGTTTGAGGGTTTGTCCTTGGTTTCTGCAGCCGCTTCTGCCTTGGCTTCCCGTTTCTCTGCCAGACTGCTGAGCAAAGCTGGCAGGTCATCTGTGATGGCCTTCTCGATCGTCTCCAGCAGGCATCCGCCTGACCAGCTGCAGTATGAGGAGAGGAGCTTAAAGCCACTGGGAGGATTGACTCCAAAGAAGTCCCGGTACGCCTCCGGTTCTGGCAAGTCGAACTTACTCACATTGGTCTTGGCCAGAATGGACTTGAAGATGTAGAATTTGTCAGGGTCGCTGACAATATCGTCGAAAACCTCATGTGGGTCACTAAACCAGCCCAGCTTCTCATAATACGTCTGCAGGTAGCGGTCGACCAGGAGGGCGTGGATGCGCACGCGGATGCCGTGCTGCCGAATGAAGGCGATTTTGTTTTCCAGCCGGTTCTCGATTACCTGATTTAGGTCCTCCAGCAGAGAGATCTCCTCACGTTTAAAAAGATCTCTGTTGGTGTCAGGAGCGTAATCCTGCGGCCAAAATGAGCTCACGTAGACACGTGGTGGTTCTGTCACGTTAATCAAAGGTGCCATGCTCCAGAAGAGGGCACCGTACACGCGCATTAGGTCCTGGGTTGTTAGACTGTCAGCCTTGTTGAGGATGATACGGATCTGTGACTCGCGTCCCTTCATCTGTCTGAACAGCATTTCAAGTTCTAAACCGACATCCAGTTTGGTTGGGTCAAACACCAGGAAGATGAGATCGGCACGGTCGATAAACCACTGGCACACGTCGCTGTAGGGGTACCCTAAAGGACAACAAGAGAGTTTCAAATTTGTAAATGTACACTTAGTTATACTAAGTATTAGTACTCATGTTAGTATTGTTCAGAGTTGAAACTGATTTTTTTTATTCAGAACTGGTGCCTTCTGGTTTGTTCTGCCAATGCTTGGAGAATACTGATACTAAATACTAAAAAAACTACTTATTCAGTGGTGCTGAAATATTTATAATATATAATACATTAATAAATTGATACAAATATTTTAAAATGTATTTAATCCTTTGAAGTTAAAGTTACATTTTCAGCATCATTACTCCAGGCTTCAGTGTCGCATAATCTTTCAGAAATCATTCAAATATGATGAACTGCTGCTTAAGATACACTTTTTATTATTATCAGTATTGAAAGCAGTTGTGCTGCTTAATATTTTTGTAAATCGTGATGCATTTTTCAGAATTCTCTAATTGGAAGTTCAAAAGGAAAGCATTTGTTTGAAATAGAAATCTTCTGTAACCTTATCAGCGTCTTTCACTTTTGATCAATTTGATGCATCCTTGCTGAATGCTGAACTTTTCAAGGGTAGTGTATATTTCCAAATTGCTTTTAGTATTGCTGTTCAATAGAAATAAAGCCAATTATTGGATTGGATTTAAACTCTGAAAAGTCATGCAAATGCCTGTGTACACACACTTTTTGCAAGAATTGTTATGAATGCATTTTTATTCAAAATTTGGGTCACATTTGATTTTAAGGTCCAATTTTCACAATTAACTACAACTTTTGCCTTAAATTCCTACTGCTTATTAATAGTTAGTAAGGTAGTTGTGAAGTTTAGGTATCGGGTAGGATTAGGGATGTACAGGTGCATCTCAATAAATTAGAATGTTGTGGAAAAGTTCAAAGTACTCAATACTTGGTAGGGGCTTCTTTTGCTTTAATTACTGCCTCAATTCGGCGTGGCATGGAGATGATCACCTCCATGCCACGCCATTTGTGGCACTGCTGAGGTGGTATGGAAGCCCAGGTTTCTTTCTTCCTCCATTACCTCTTCTGATTTATCTTCCACTGGCTCTTCAGCCTGAGAAATTGCCTCTGCCTCGTCTTCTATCTGAGAAATCTCCTTGTCCTCACTTGCCTCATCTTGAATCTGAAGAACCTCCTCTTCCTCAACTACCTCCTCTTCAGTCTGAGCAAGTTCCTCTTCTTCACCTGTTTCATCTTCAGTCTGAAGAACCTCTTCTTCCTCAACTACCTCCTCTTCAGTCTGAGCAAGTTCCTCGTCGTCTTCTTCCACAGATTCCTCAACAACTATTTGTGACTCTACATCACTGTCTACCTCTGAGATCTCCTCCTCCTTCACGTCTTCACGTGCCTCCTCAATAACTTCATCCACCGCCGCTTCATTAGATTCATCTAACTCAGCTTCTGCCTCTCCTTCCTGTGCCTCCTCCTCAAATATCTCTTCAGAAGAGGTCTCCTCTTGATTCAACTCTTCAGATTTCTCTTCTGAAACAACATCTTCCTCTTCATCCTCAGAGCTGACATCTTCGGCCGTGGTGTCAATATGTGCACCAGTGCCACAGGGTTGGCACACAGGTCTGTTTGGTGCAGGAGTGTCATTGGAGGAGCTCTGGCTTATATCCTCTGTGCCATCACAGCAGTTAAACAGCTCGCCTTCAGACTTCAGCTGGAACGGCACCAGCGACTCAGTCTCAGACTCCACTGCATCTTTGAAAGAAAAACAATAATATTACCCTAAATGTGATGGGATATAAATCAGCACATTCACACAGAATGAAGAATGAATCATATTTGATATTACAACATAATGGCGACAAAAGTAATTATGCACAAGTTCGATTAATTTTTTACCAAAACACCATGGAAAACCAAAACCTAAAAATAGTGTTTAAATAGTTGAATTTGGTAGTTGGGTAATTGATTTGGTACTCTGTTTAGGGTGTTGTTAAACTTTGTAGTAAAGTTCTTCTGCAACGAGCTGCCTCTCAATATTTCAGCCAAACCAATTTTATACGTTGCTACTCTAGCATCATTTTTGGTCACAGTGAAGTGCATCCACACTGCTGACATGTGCACCTATTGTACTGTAGCTTATCCATGTCGTATGCACAAAATGGATGCTGACGCAGGTTTTTGGCCAAATGTTTTTGGTTTTGCCGAAATTTCAGTACAAGTGTGCCTGAAAACTTCCTGAAAAGTGAAGCTAAAACATTTTGATCGCCACCTAGTGGCTGTCTGAAGTATAGGTCATAAACCCCGCCATCTCCAAGTAAACAAATGAGATATGAGCCAAATTACACTTCAAATACATTTTTCCCAAAGATGGTTTCCATCATTTTAGGTCAGGGGTGCCCAAACTCTGTCCTGGAGGGCCGGTGTCTTGCAGAGTTTAGCTCCAACTTGCCTCAACACACCTGCCGGGAAGTTTATAGTATGCCTAGTAAGAGCTTGATTGGCTGGTTCAGGTGTGCCTAATTGGGGTTGGATCTAAACTCTGCAGGACATCGGCCCTCCAGGACCGAGTTTGGGCACCCCCTATTTTAGGTAGTTCTTATCATGCTGATGTATGTTCAAGCAAGTTTTCTAATAAGTTTGTTTTTAGTTTTTTATTTGATGCTATAAAAATGGGGTGTGGCGTCATGATGGTGAGCTTGTGATTAGGTCTGCAGGTGTTTGGGTGGGACTTTGATACAATGACACCACCTCACGATCACTGCACAGACTCGGACTCCAAATGAAACTCTACTGCGCAGACTCAGGCTCCAAATGAATAAGGTGGCCATACGTGCCATTTTTACGGTATTATTTTGGTATTTGGGTCTGTTTTCCTGTTGTTATACTTGGTCGAGGGTAATGATCGACCAATAGCGTGCAGGCATTGTACACATTTGACCAATTGTGGTGTGTGAGAAGGAGGGATCTACGGAAAATGGTCAAAGTGATGCAAATACGTACACATGTTATGTTCGTTCGTTCGACTTGAAGCGGCACTGCATGAACCAATCGTTGTATGACATCAAAGTACAGCGAGCGCGAGTCGAAAGCATAAGGAGCTGTCTGCTCTCTAGCTCTTGCGGTACTTTGATATCATACAACGATCGCTCTGCACAGCGCAAACAGCCAAAACCTGGATATTTTAGGCAATATAGAAATCCTGACAAGGATGTGTCCCGTAAAAATGGCCCGTATGTTCACCCTACAAATGAATCATACTATGCAGACAAGACTTAGAATCCAAATGAATCGCTACTGTACAGACTCAGACTCCAAATGATTTGCTACTGCACAGACTCTGACTCCAAAAATGAATCACTACTGTGCAAACTTGGACTTCAAATGAAAAACTACAGTGCAGACTCGGGCTCCAAGTGACGTAATTTTTGCAAGATGACAGCGGCCATATACTGAGAGGTTTTGGCTTCACTTTTCTATAGTGGAAGGAAGTAGAGATGTTTTGTCCATTTTCTTTTAGTCTATGCTTCCACATAACATCCCTGAAGAAAAGCATCTCGCACACTGCAGGTATATAACATTAGCATACAGGATGCTGTGTTGGAGACAGTATCATCTACAAGAGGAGTGTCCATTCCTGTTCCTGGAGCTCTGCCTTCTTGTAGAGTTTGGTGAAAACCCTGATCCAACACACCAGTTTGTAATTATCAAGTGTTTATGAAGGTCTTAATTAGCTAGTTCATATGTGTTTGATTTAGGGTTAGAGCTGAACTTTGCAGGAAGGTAGATCTCCAGGAACAGGACTGGGCACTCCTGATCTACAACATTACTCAAGTAAATGAAATAAAACCATGGTTACTATCCTCAATCACGTACAGACCCTAATTTAAAATGGTGTAGCTGTAATAGCTGGATTTGAACAATGTGACTTGGTGCTAGAGCTGCTGTTGGCACAAATATGTGAGTCTGTGGCGATGACCCATCTCTGTGATTCATGCGGCGATGAATGCTCTCGATGAGAGCTAAATGCTTTTCATGTGAATCACATCCTGAAATAGGGAGCAGAGCTGGCAGGAGAAGAGAATGCCAAGTCCTTTCTGTTCATGTGGATCATCAGAGCAAGGTTTATTTTTCATACTGTCCTCCGGCGCGAAGGCAGGCGGCTCTGATAAAGGTGTTAGCATGGCGTCTTTGTACTGGATTCCAACCTCTAGTTTTAATGTCAAATGCTTCCATTGAAAAGTGGAGCTCCGCTTTCAAGCAAATAATGGCGCATTAATTTGTTTGCCAGTAACATTTTTGCAGATTGAAGTGTTTTCTCTACACAGCCATTTCAGTGGCTTACAAAATGTAATCCATATTAAAATGTAAAAAATGCACATTCAAAAGCACTTTTTTTTACTTAATGCTAAATTACTATCAAACGACAAACCCTAAATTGATTTAGCCATACATTTACGCAGCAGTTCAACAACATACTGACAGCAGAGGGCACCAGTGTCTATAGTTAGTTCAGATAAACCTCTTCTTCCACATTTGACTACTTGTAAAAATGCTCTCTGACAAGCTTATGTGTTCCTTAGAAGTCTCTAATTAATTGAATTGGCTCTAGACAATTTAAATGTGATATGTTTTGCACACTTATACACATGCTCACACCCTCAGGAGAGCTGTATTTAGGCCAAAGTCATAGTGCAAGACTGTCATCAATGTAACCATGAGTCATTTTGAAGGCTTAAGGCCATGTTACTGTGGTATGAGTTACTCTTTATTGTTAGCTTGCTGTCTTTACTAGTACAGGATTATGGTTACATAATTGTCACAACACTAATATGATGTAAAATAATTACTTTTATGAAGATACAGATGAGGGGAACGTGGATTTATTTGACCTTGCAACTTCTTTTTTTTAAATGTCACTGAAATAGAAAGGCTGGTTATGATGTGCTACAGAACTTGAGTGTTGGATTATTTTATAATAAGTTGAACAGCTCATTCTGTTCAATATAATATTCTACCATGTTGATTTAATTAAATTAGAGCCTGCTCTAGTGGTAAGAAGAGCAGCAATGCTATGTTCGCCAAGGACCATCCCTATATCCACACAGGTATTGTTTTGTAGACAATGGCTGGGGAGCTTTTGGTCACAGTGGAGAAGGAATGTTTGAGTGTATTATTATTCCAGTGTCTCAGGTGTCTCTTGTTGAAGTAATACCACCAGTACTGGTAAACTACCCCAAAATGAAACCAACCATCCATATTTGATAATACAAGATCATCTGCATTTTTCCAGTAAGGTCTAAGTGACGTAGACCAGCCCCTTCCCCCTTCGACAGCATGTTCTGAGGTGAGGACAGAAACGGACAGGTGCTCGATCCCAAGTCCTAGATCTTCATGACACAAATAGCCTATGCTGAGAAGAGTTTCTCTGCTTTTATAGACTAAAATGACATTTCTCTTCAGTTTATTTCTGATAGCACTGACTGTCAAACCACTATCTTATGTGGTTGTGTAGAGGAGGGATTTATCGAAGATAACTGTGGTCACTAAGCAAAATTTAACTAAAGACTCACAAAAGAACATGACAGAATGATTTTCATGACATTCATTTTTCGTTATGTTTCCAATGCGGATAAAACACCAAAATACTGTTAACATGTTCCCTGCAAAAATATACAATGCGTGACCAGTGAAGTCTGATTCTCAATCAAAAAATGAACCTTTTATGCCCCCAAAGGCGAGTGAATTACTCTTATGAGCCGGTTCTTTTTAGTGAATCGAATCATAATTTGACCAGTGAAGTCTGATGCTCGAGTGAATCCCTGCGTTCCATTCTAAAGGGCTCATCCCTATGCCCTAATCCCTTCAAAGGGTTTACCCTCCTGAGTGAGAGCTTCGAATGGTTAAAGGGTGTAGGGGACCAAACAACTGTTCCTTGAAGTGTCCTTCTGCGTCGTCATCACGTGCCCACACGGAGGCGCCGTCATCATGCAAAGAATCTGCGCAAAGGATCATGGGAGCCCGAAGTGTCCATCAGTTGTACCCTTCGAAATCCTTGATTCCGAAGGGCCCTTTGAAGTGGCCAGTTTTGAGCACTTCGGTTTGGAATGGCCCTTCAATATGGCGGCCATGATTGTTTTCACAACGAAGTGCCCTTCGGCGGGTGATATATCCCGTTTGGAATGCACCGAATGACTCTTAAGAGCCAGTTCTTTTTAGCGATTGACCAGTGAAGTCTGAAGCGCGAGTGAATGACTCTTACGAGCCGGTTCTTTTTAGTGATTGACCAGTGAAGTCTGAAGCAGCTTGAGTGAATGACTCTTACGAGCCGGTTCTTTATAGTGAATCGATTCATCATTTGACTAGTAAAGTCTGAAGCTCGAGTTAATGCCTCTTACGAGCCGGTTCTTTATAGTGAATCGATTCAGCATTTGACTAGTGAAGTCTGAAGCTGGAGTGAATGACTCTTACGAGGCGGTTCTTTATAGTGAATCGATTCAGCATTTGACTAGTGAAGTCTGAAGCTGGAGTGAATGACTCTTATGAGCCAGTTATTTTTAGTGAATCGATTCATTGACCAGTGAAGTCTGATGCTCGAGTGAATGGCTCTTACAAGCTGGTCCTTTTTAGTGAATCAATTCATCATTTGACTAGTAAAGTCTGATTCTTGAGTGAATGACTCTTATAAGCCGGTTCTTTTTAGTGAATCGATTCATCATTTGACCAGTAAAGTCTGATGCTCTAGTGAATGACTCTTACAAGCCGGTTCTTTTTAGAGAATCGATTCATCATTTGACCAGTGAAGTCTGATTCTTGAGTGAATGACTCTTATGAGCCGGTTCTTTTTAGTGAATCGATTCATCATTTGACTAGTGAAGTCTGATGTTCGAGTGAATGACTCTTACAAGCCGGTTCTTTTTAGTGAATCGATTCATCATTTGACTAGTGAAATCTGATGTTCCAGTGAATGACTCTTACAAGCCGGTTCTTTTTAGTGAATCGATTCATGATTTGACTAGTGAAGTATGATGTTCAAGTGAATGACTCTTACAAGCCGGTTCTTTTTAGTGAATCGATTCATCATTTGACTAGTGAAGTCTGATGCTTGAGTGAATGACTCTTATGAGCCAGTTCTTTTTAGTGAATCGATTCATTGACCAGTAAAGTCTGATGCTCGAGTGAATGACACTTATGAACCGGTTCTTTTTAGTGAATTGATTAATCATTTGACCAGTTAAGTCTGAAACTCGAGTGAATAGGCTTGTTTGAGATGCGCCTCGCCTGAAATATAGGCGAGAGTAGGCGGCTGCAGTGAGGGGAGGAGTGAAATAAGCGCAGGCAAGACGGACAGTTCTGACCTCTAGAAGTGAACCGATACCAAGGAGATCAAAGGCGGATATCGCGTTATTCTCACTTACATGCTGTGTTGCTAATAAACATGATATAATTTCAGTTCTGTTGCTTTTATATGAAAATAAATATGATGAACAAGACACTCAAAGTGCTTGCTATTTCATTCCATACGAAAGGTGTATTTATCATCCATTTTTACTTTAATACAAACATGTATTTTAGATTTTTATAAAAATATGACAACAATCACATTATCTCACACAGAGATCGTGCTGTCATAGTGTTTGGGAACATTCATGCATAATTTAAATACATAATCATATGAAATCACATAAAAATAAAACATTTTAGAAGAGAACCGCAGCATCACAGTTGTCTGAACCAATGAGCATTAAGCTGTGTCGTCAGTCAGTCGTTTCCCATCATGCTTTTGATCAGCGCAGTCGGTGGAGAGCAACTGCACAATCCGACACAGCCGCCTCGTCGTCGCGAGAGTTTTTTTGCACACGTCAGCATGACATCAGAGCAAGTCGGACGTAACTCGGACACTTTTCTAACCGGCATGCATTTCGCGGTGATCACCGGTGATCGGTTCTGCGCAGAATTTGCTCATCTCAAACAAGCCTAATGACTCTTACAAGCCGGTTCTTTTTAGTGAATCGATTCATCATTTGACTAGTGAAGTCTGATGCTCGAGTGAATTACTCTTATGAACCAGTTCTTTTTAGTGAATCGATTAATTGACCAGTAAAGTCTGATGCTCGAGTGAATGACTCTTATGAGCAGGTTTTTTTAGTGAATCGATTCATCATTTGACTAGTGAAGTCTGATTCTTGAGTGAATGACTCGTAAAGCCAGTTCTTTTTAGTGAATCACTTATAAATCATGAAATATATATTGCCCTTTTTGTTTGTTTGTTTTGCATTATTGAAATGATCTCAACATTGTATCTATTTTTCTTATATTTCAATAGTGCTTACAGATTTGCTTATTGACCATTTGTATTCCAATTAGCCTATTTGGTTCAACCCAATCTCATGAGAAACCATAACTATTGTACTAGGTGATAATTAGTATAAATTTGTACGTTATGATTGAAGTAAATATATGTTTTTTAGAAAATAAAAAATAAAGCTTGAAAGTCCACCCCTAAAACGAACAAATTTGCAACAAATTTACCAAAATGTAAAATAGTTACACATTTTTTGAGAGTGCGTTGATTTGGTTTCATGTATTTGTTTATGCATGGATATGTGTTTTCGGAATCAGAATGAGCTTTATTGCCAGGTATGTTTACACATACGAGGAATTTGTTTTCGTGACAGAAGCTTCCACAGTGTAACAGAATGACAGTGACAGAACAAAAAACACAGATAATAAAAATAAAAATATAACAAGTCAATAAGGAATAAAAATATATAAATTGACAGTTGTATGTGCAGGTATATTACACTAGACAGTTTTTGTATGTACAGGTACTGTATATTATGTGCAAATTGAAATGTAGACTGAGTATGAGTGTTAGATAAATAAGTGTATGAGTGTATAAATAGTGTGTGTTCCACAGTTATTGTCAAGTGTTCATGAGATGGATGGCCTGAGGGAAGAAACTGTTCCTGTGTCTGGCTGTTCTGGTGCTCAGAGCTCTGTAGCGTCGACCAGATGGCAACAGTTCAAAGAGTGAGTGTGCTGGATTCACGGTCCAGAGTGATTCTGCCAGCCCTTTTGCTCACTCTGGATAAGTACAGTTCTTGGAGAGAAGGGAGTTTTAATATACCTAATGCATGTACGTACTGTATAACTTGCTGATGTAAGTGTTGTGTACATTTTATTTGTTTGTATAGCAACACGGTTTACTCTGGCTTGCGAGTAATGTCTGCGTACGATTGGCTGGTGTGACTGGACTGTGACAGGGAAGCCCCAGTGCAAAAACAGGCCACATACAGTAGCAAGGCAGGACAGAGGCTTTAAGTCCTTCTTTTAACATAATGGTTGCCCCTACAAGGCCTGCAAGACAGAAATAAATAGTGATTGAGACAGTATACAGCGTTGTGACAGCAGCTGTGGACTGTAAGCGTATATGTGGATAGAAAGTACAAGGGGGCGTGTTAGCAGAGCTGTGAAGCATGACCATGCAACTGCTCGACTAAGAGTGTCTGATTTCATGGTGCACTCTGAACACCTGACAGCACAGATGCAGAAAGAGAACAAGAACTATGCAAGGACAGACAAGGATAATATTAAAAACCAAGCAGGAGGAAGCGGCAGCCTCTAATTATTTCACCAAGAGTAACCAGTTTTCTTTGACTACTGAGAGACAAGAAAGCCACCAACAGTTTCCCTTACAGTTGATTGCAATTTTGACCAAAGGATTACAGCTATCATCAATTCAATGAATAGGAATTTTAAAGAAAAATATATAAGAATTAGTATTCAAATTTGTAAGAATAATAACTAGTTTTCTTTGTGGCAATACATTTGGATACATACAGGATCACAGGAATGCAGCAAAAATATATATATTTTTGTGTATTAATTATTATTTTAAAAAAATACAATTGAAATGCAATTCATACATTCAATAACTTTAATACACCTCTTCTATGATGAGCATGGTTTTTATATTTCTAACTTAAAATTAATTTCACTATTTGTCAGGGTGATATAATTAAAGAATCAAAGTGCTGTAGAGAAAGTGTATTAAGCATTTTTAAATGTTTTATTATTTACCTTCTAAAAAGATATGTATTTTAACTAAATGTCTGCACTTATTAATATTTGAGAAACATTTGTCTTCCAATTCAAAGTTATGTGTCGTTACTGATAAAGTCATGTGGTGCAACCAACATGTAGAAAAAATATTTCTAAAAAAATAAAAAAAGTGTAAAAGTCTAAATGTCTTTAAACAATTATGACAAGGCAAGGTTAGTTCAGGTCAAGCGGTGCAACTCCCTAAAATATTAATAATTCATGGTAATTGTAAAATTTGACTTTTAAAAGTATATAAATTTTTTTTTAAAGCTATATGACTGACATGAATATAAAAAGTATATTTCAAGAAATCAGTATGCATTTTAAAGTAGAATTGTAAATGTTTTTTTCTTTTCTTTATCGTGGACACTATTATCAGTCATTGACCTATAAAAGTTTGTGTTAATAATTAAGAAGTATGATTTCATATTTTAGAATTATTTGAGATTTATTATAGTTTTTGAATGTTTTTATTTTTACTGTTTTTATTTAATTGAACTTTTAGTAATTGTTTGTTATTTGTCATTTTAATTAGTTTTGTAATTTTGTTTTCATATATAGCCTAGTTTTTATTCATTTTTATCCCAGTTTTAGTTTTTCTAATGCACAAAGTTAAACTAAATGAAAATAAGATATTTGCTTTGTTATGTAGCTAAAATTAAAAGATCTTATATATAGAATTTATTTTATTTCAGTTAACGTTCATATTATTTAAACTAACAATTTATTTCCCCCTAATGGTTTTAGTTATAATAATCCTGGCATAAACTTAGCACAGCAGATGAGATCTCCCCTGTTCTATAAGACATTTTCATACCTATCAGAAGTTACATAATTCAACGGAGTAATAAGAAAGTTGGTCGTTCAGTTTTTTCAAGGCATTGTGTCTACACAAGCCCTGAAATCAGCGAGAATGACTCCCAGAAACACTTTCGCCGGCACTACATATACAGTACATGCCATCCAGAAACTGAAATTCAGTTGTACTGAACATGCTGTACTTGAGTGCACTTGATGATTCTTAATGAAGGAATCAAAGAACAATTTGACTAACTTACATATTCAAGTTCATAAAAACATTAAGACTAGAAACCCCACATTTTACTACACATTCTGTAAAACACTCCTCCATACACAAACTATGAATACAAGCAGGCAGATGCAGGGACGCTCATCTCCACCAAGGACAAGCAATCTGATCTAGGACTTCAGACACTTATCTTGAGGCCTAATACTCCCAGGTGAATACCCAATCACTGTTACTAAAACATTTAGCTTCACACTTCAGCTACGTACATGCAGAAGTCACCTGCAGCTCTTAGTTCAGCAGTCCACCTGCATTTGAATCCAGTTTTCTTACCTGCAGTGGCGAGTGCCAGTAGAGGCAGCAGGCAGCAGACAGGGAGGTAAAGCCTCATTTTGACTGCCAGAACTGTCCAGGACCCCTCTCAGGCTATATATACCCCCAGAGAGAGGCGAGAGGGCATGCGGAGGGTCTGGGGGTGGGGCGGCGCTCACGGACATCGGAGCATTTGCACAAGCGTCAGCACTGGGAGCAGCTGCCTTCTCCAATCAGATGGCCTTTAACCTTTGCTTATTTGTAACCGTTTCTGGGTAGCTGGGTTTAATAATCTGTGGAGGAAGATTCAGTTGTTCACTCAGGGGGACCAAATCTGAAAACATAAAGAACTGAAGGTGGTGAATTTAATTTAGTACCTCAGGTGACCAACAAATGGCGCACTTTTATTGACTAGTTTTCAAGAATTGAAAAGTATTACCATGTTTTTTGGACATTTTAATGTGGTAATACAATGTACTTTAAGACCAATAGACCATTTGGATGTTTGCAAACAGCGAAGACGTTTTTGTGGGGCGGTGCCAACTTGGTAGCAGAAAATTACAGTTCTGCAGTAGCAGTCTATGGAAGCCACGGAATTAAAGAGTAAAAAATTTAATATCCAGTTTACATCTCACAATTCTGACTATTTTTCTTGCAATTCCGTGTTTATACCTCACAATTCTGAATTGTGAGTTATAATGGCTGAATTTGGCGATACAAACTTGCAATTGCAAGAACTGGTGTGAATTGGTGTGACACTCATATCTTCCCTCCTCTGGTAAGCGAAGTTGTGTTGAGATGAGAGGGATTATTCATTTAGAATGGGTGCGTTTGTGGGATTCAGTAACAAATCATATAATGGAATGATGATTTGTTGGTTGTGTAATTTTAGATTAGCTGGGTGCATCCAGGCAATGTTAACGTGCATGTAAATATAGCACACTTGAAAGGTAATTCTCCCCTTTATCGTATTTATGCAAGGAAATATTTGGGGGTAATATAAAATTACATTTTATATTATCAGAATCAGAATCAGAATGAGCTTTATTGCCAGGTAT